AAGCACATGCTCAACATACCTTTAAATCTCTGTGCACAATTCCTTGCCCATGTAAATAATCAACAGCTCCTAGTATTTGTTTTATGAGGTCACTGGCATCCTTTTCTGTATAGCTCCCTTTCTCCACTATCCTATCAAATAGTTCTCCTCCTTGAACCCTGCAATATAAAATTAATATCAGTGTTCAAGTAGTGGGGAGACTGCAAGTCCCGACCTGTTATGTGGTGGTTGTCTAAAATTAATTGAAAGTGTTCCTCTCTCTCCTCTTCCAGTTTTTTTTTTCCTTTTGTTGTTGTTGTTGTTTTTTGTTTTGTGTGTGTGTGTTATTTTTGTTTTTGTTTCTGGAAGTCTGAATTAGAGACAGAGTGACATCCCACCATCCCCTCCCCCTTAGCTCCACCAGGCCATCCCCTTCCCCAGTCACTCCCCCAACATCACCGACAAAATTAGTATAATTTATGACAAGCGATTTTGGCTGAAATAATGAAACCCCTTTGTACTATTTCTGATATTGTCACACGCGGCCAGGACACAACATCTAAAGGCAGCAGTTTATAAATTATTCAGCGTAATTCAAAATAAATCAGAAGTATCAGTACCTAGTTTGTCCATTTGCACATAAGATCGGAGCTTTACAATCAACTTTAATTAAGCATGTTTCTCCAATTATTACTTGGGAACCTCCACACGTCCAATTTACAAGAAATTTGAATAAAATAACGAGTTCCGCAGAACAGCTGCAGACACCGCGGTTGAATTCGATCATTTATTAACAGATGCTTGAAAGAGAAGTTGTAACGCATTTAAATGAGTTAACACCCAGAAATGTTGACAGTTGAAGAGGCTGGCCTGAAAAAGTTGCAGTGTTTTTCGACGAGATCAAGGAAAACAATAAATCAGTCTTTACGACCCATTCTCAAATCTTATCAACAGTGTATAATATGTTTCACTTGCGTAGTGAACGGATTAATCTGTATTATATTTCGACGTATCTTGCATTTAGTTTGTTTTCGCCCCCGCAAAGAGAACCCACAATATTTCAATGGCTCGAATGAGACACACCGCTGAGATGCGAAGTTTTTCTTTATCAATTTGTTATCTGAAAATGTTTTAATCTGCCTTTGAGGAGTGCTGTAGTCATTTCGAAGAAACATCTGTTTACCAACGTGAAGAAAAAAAGGCTTAGCGTCCAAATGTTATTCATTCCATCCGGCAAAAATTCTTCGAAGCTTAGATGGCGCGTCGACGCAGACTTTGGAATCGCTCTACACTCGTGTGTTTACTTTTCTATTTTTTTTTTGACAGCTCAACCTATGATGAATTTCACCGGTCCAAATTAACTGCCTATTAGCAAGGGCCCCTTGGGATTGAAAGTTATTCACTCCACATAGAAAAGAAAACAATAAGGAGCGAGTGGCATCAAAGGATGAATAGATTCTGAAGCCATCTCAAGGCAGATTTACTTTAGTAACCACATTCAAACCATTTTGGTGCAGTTCGATTGACATAAGAACGCGTGTCCGCGCGGACAGTGTTACTTGCAAAAGTTCGATATCCGATACGACCGGGCCTGGCGTGCGAAAAATATCTATCCGAGTGAGACAAATCGGAGATGATCGCACCTTCAATGCCGCAATATCCATAAAACATAATTATCTTTTTTGTCACGAGAATTTCACAACAACAGAGCAAATAAAGAAACTGCAAAAATCATATGAATTGAGTCAACAGAACACATCCTGCGGTGTCAGAAAGAAAAAAATTTCCGTCATACTGTTTCGCTCAGGTTTTTAACCGCCCCGGGAGTCGGACAAGGAAATCAACTGACTTTATCACACCACGCTGCCTAAACCCTAGTACAGTATTGAACGAATGCTTCTCCAATTTTATCATGAAAGATCCATTATTCCAAACGAAACGTAACACGATGCGAAGTTTAAGAACGTTTACACATTTGGAAACTTATCTGTACTTACAAGTCCATGACTAAATAGAGATGGGTCTTGTTGTCGAATATTTCCCACAGTCTAATTATGTTTGGATGATTCACTCTGAGGACACAATAAAAGTATAAAATAATCAGTTATATGGCTGTGCAAAGAACATGTAATCGAGCAACAGGCAGACTTGGCGATATCGCATGGGCAAGCGTGCAACACGAAAATATTTCCTGGCTCAATGAATAGCCATTATTGATCACGATATTGCAAAGACTGTTTATTAGTAATTGACTCACTTCTTTAATATAGCGATTTCGTTCTCAACCGCTTCCTCCTTGCCCGAAAGGTTTCTCTTATTGATGCATTTTACAGCGAATAATTTCCTGGATGATTTTTCTTCGGCCATGACAACTTCGGAGAATGCGCCCCTGAAATGAAAAAGTTTACAGGTTCAGCAGGAATACAATCGAAGTTCACTCGAAATATTTGGATTAACTGCAAACGAGTCCCGATAACTTATTATAAACGGTCTACTATATGCGAAGCGGCGCGCAGTAAAGTCATACGACGTTGCTTAAAGCGACGTCAATTTATCTGTCACAAAAGAAGATAACTTCGGAGGCTACTTACGTCCCCAGAACATCTCGAAATTCGTACTTCTTGGTGATCTTCTCGTCGAATTTTTTCTTCCCAAACAGCGGCATTCTGGAGCAGGAGAAATTAGAAAAACATTTAGAACAAGTCATCGAAGTCGCCCGCGAGAATTGCCAGGTTGTCTACAAGAACGAGCAGCATTTGCCTCACGACCTAAGCTAAACAAACACACCTCGAATCTTCGCTTATTTACCAACACTTATTATAAATCTTCGACTTCAAAACCGTCGCATACTTTCTTGCATGGATGTGTTGTTAAGAACGCGTGGTACTATCGAGGGTGGGGTGCGGGGCGTTTTTGACGTAATTCGAGAAATAAAATGTAAATTGAAAAAGTCTTATTTTATTATTATTACTTTTTTATTTTTGAATCACACAAATGTTCGGGCGCTATCCAGTTCCATTTCCGTGACTTTCGAGGTTTAGATTCTATCGGAAAATATTCACTTGTTCAAAGAAGTTCTCGTGAATTCCAAAGGAGTTTTCAGCGGCTTGAAACATTCTCTATTTGCGCGACTTAATCCTTGTGTTTCAGTAGAGACTCTTCTGTCTCATTTTGTACGCTCTCATCTGTCTATGTAATCTAAACGCATGCTATCGGAGATCTCTAGTATCTGATTGCTTGCACGAAAGCTGATGGTAAAGTTGCAATTGGTGCTTGCAAAAAGAGATAACTGGGTCAGAATTCGCGAGAATGGCGCACACACGCCACGCGGAGCGAAATGATGGACTAATTAGTCAGTGCTCATATAATATCTTCAAGACAAACGCGCCGTTATTGCACAATACCCTACTGATGAAAAAATCGAATAGATCCGATGGTTTCTGTTTAGTGTTGCTGCTGTTTCGAGAGCCAACGAGAAAAAGAGAATGAGGTTAAATCGCCCTAAAATATGGTGGCTAATTACCATTTCAGCTAAATGTGGTTTAGTCGGTTGACAGAAAGTCATTTTTATTCACATAGGAAAACAGTCTTGTCTGATACGAGGGTGATATTTTTAGATGTGATTAACAGCCGGCAAGTCTGCGCGCTCGTAATTGATCAGTGTAAAGGTTAAATGCTAGCAATTTCTTTCTTGCATGTGTTGTTGATTGTATATGCAAATTTCACTCGACAGTCCAAAAGGTTAACAGTTAGCCCATTATCAATTTGAAGCATTCAATACTATGGTGTCTGTTTCTTTAACGTCTTTATCAGTGACACTAGAATTAAATGTCAATCTAGAACAAACTTGCAATGAATATCATCAGTAATGTCTTTAATCGCTCCATTTCATCGAAGAAGAACTTCTGTCATCTGCAGCGTTCACGAAAACGAGCGTGTCTCTCGCGCGATCAGGCAACGACAGCATCCTCGGTCGCTCTGACGGTTTCTCTAAACGATCTCTCTCTCGAGCCACAAAATTTTAAATCCAATAGAAAATTAAGCCATATCGCTGCTCTCTTCACAAAACTGTTTTTCACTAGTTTCGAAAGTTGTAAATAATGTGAATAAAACTGGAGAAACTTGCAGAAATCTGCACGCTTCTTTGCCATGTAAAAAGACAAAAAAGGAATACCCATTTCCCCTTTCCGAAGCACCCTCTTCCTTCCGGCTCCTCTAGCTTCACCCCAAGTGTGCATGCTGCATTCTGACCAAGTCGCGCGTGACTCGAGAGTCCTCGGGTAAAATGCGAGTTCACGCGCGATTACTTAAACCGGAAATAACCCACAAATGATAACTTTTCTGCGGTTTTCAAAGTTATAATTTTACCATTTATTTTCTATAAAAGATAAGCGAAACAAACGACACCGAAAAAAATAATTTTTACAATTCTTCGTTTCACCTGGAATATTTTACACCGCACTGGGAGATTCTAAACAATTGTGTTATTATAAGAAAACTTATTAACCTATTAAATTATCATTTTCAATTTTTGTAGCCAAAACTTATAATGACGTTTTCTTTGCAAGCCTGAAGCATTCAAAGTGTCAGCAATAATCCAGACTTCATCCACATATTTATAAGGTACATATCTTGGAAGATTCATAAAAAGCGGGAATTTTGTGAGTAGATGAAGCCGATGAAAATGATTACTTTTTCTTGTTAATTAATTGTTTTACCTGCGGTTTACCCAAACTGTTTATGGGTGCTAAAAGGTAATTTTGTTTACTTTATTCAAATTCAATAGCATATCGAGTAAAACCGAGTCGCTCGGGCGTCGTTCATTAAAACACATTTGAAATAACCTGTTCCACGCGACTTATCTTCTGCCCAAAGTTCTTTGATAACCGTGGAATTTGTTCAAGGCTTTGCTGAAGGGAGATTTAGTTCCATAAGATAAATTGGCGACATTCATCCGATAAGAAGACTTGAGAATCCCGCAATCTTTGTAAGCTTTGTGTTTACAAAGGCTTTGTTCGAAAGCTTACCTCGTAAACATATTGCAGTATGCTAAAATGTCATGAGTAGTTAATAAATATGAAATACTGGCGAATTATTAATCGAAATATGAGTTACTGTTGCGCGACAGGTCAATTATGTAGACCATGTGATTCCCGTAACTTAAAATTACAAATTGTAGGGAAATTTTGAAAGACAAAAAAAGCAATAAGCCCACAATAATAAACAGACTTTTGAATGTAGACTGTGGTATTGAAATTTCCATCGCGTTTTCGCTGAACTCACGAGATTTGATTTTTTTTTTTTTACCTGACAAGTCTCATTTCAATAAAACGTTTAGCAACTCGTTTTCAAAAACATTTACCGGCGGTCGTGATATCTGCACCAGTTTAGTTAAACCAATATGCTAAATGCTCCTCTTGTAATCGCATATTCTACTTTCTAATATGTACAAACATTGGTAAATAGAATTATCCGTCACAATTCACAAAGATACAAGGAGCGCCCGGCGAATTTCCATCTCGGAAAGCCACCCTGACCTACACGCACTAATGACTCTTTTCGGTAATTATCACAGAAACCAGCGCATTAAAACACTCAAGATCAATCTGGTGCGCTAACATGGTACCTACCGCTTCTTTCGAGGTTTTTTAACCTCACGGCCGTCTTCGACATCGGCCTCCCCTTGTCTTGACGATTCAACGTCCGCCATAACTCGCTTGTAAACACTCAAATGGGTTTGTTTGTACGCACGGTTGCAGGCCTGAGTCCTTGGTAAAATATGCAAAATGTGCTTGAAGAAAGAGATGAAGTTTTAGTGCTTCAAATCAGCGCAGACAGTTTGCTTTTCCTGTCAACGATGGGCTTTGTTTTCACACTACTTCATCTCATTTGCTATGCATGATTTATTGCAATCAACGCACCGCGGGTCTCCTTTTGACAAAGTTCGGGACAGTTTGCACCTGGTCAGGGGAAAACTAATTTGCCGCTTTCTGTAGTGTAAATAAACCACCCAAGGATGTTACAGACGTCAGTCTCTATTCATTTTTCATAAGAAATTTGATAGAAACCTTGTGGAAGAACTCGTTTGTGGACACAGTGAGTCTTGACTGGTCGCAAAATGAACCTCGCTGCTTCAAGATCGTTCTTTAGATTGCTTATACGCATATTTTGAATGAAAGAAACTAAAATAAATTTACTGTTAAATGTTATCTTTTCAGTTGATCACAATTAAAGAGACCCCGCATTGCCCTGTTATAAACCATGAGCGCTTTTAATTTTACTTACTTATTTATTTATTTATTTATTTACAACTGAAATTGAGTTTTCAATGATGAATTCACAAACCGCGAAGACCTTTAAAAAAAAAATAGATATCCCACGTAGTATGGTACAAAGATAAACCTGTTAAATCCCACATTTTACAATAAACGTTTTGTAACGATATCATATCAAATCAAATGGGTTTATAACGCGTTTTAAATCGTAATCGTAATGTAATATTGACCATGCGGGTTGCAACAGTCCTTCGTTTTGATACTTGTTTCTGTCCTGTACTTTCGATTTTTTACTTCATGTCCTTCGTGTTTACGATACCATTTTGCGATCCCGAAAAGCCGATTACAACTTATCCGGTGGATTAAAAGTTAGCCCA